ACGCTCACATACATGTCTGCGCATGCGCTAACCATAGATATACAACAATACCGAAGTCTTTTATAATTCCTCCTCTACTTTACTATTTCCTGTGACCTTTCTTTTCCGCTATATTACAAAGTTACATGCTTGTTCCGCTAGTACCATTTAATCTGTTCGTTCTTACAATACCGCAATTATTTCGTCAATGCTCGCTAAGTTACAATAATCCTCTTTATTTCACGTTCTTCTATGTTCTTATTACCTTCTTTTTCTCTTCCCTCTCCTTTTGCTCACGCTTTCCTTATTTTCCTTGCCTACTTCCTCAGCTTGTCTAGCCTGATCCTCTTTTTGCTTCCTCTTCACATACTCCTCTTCCACTTGTCGCTGCAATTCCTCTTGTTTTCTTAATTCTTCCCTTCCTTTCTTCTACTTCCTTGTGTCTCTTTTCCTTTTGCTCGCTGTTTTCACCTTCTCTCCGTCTTCGTCTTTCACCTTAGTTTCGTTCCACGTGCTATCGCCGGGCTTTCCTCTTCTTCGATCAACTCATTATTCCCGATCGATTGCGCACCCGGCTTATTGACCTCCCTAGCAGTCCCCCGTTCGCCGCCGCGACAGTCGATCTCTCAATCGTCGCTGCGCGCGCAGGCACCGCGAGCCCCATGTGCTGCGCCTCGACGCCCCGCAGTGGTGCCAACCCACTCTTTTGGAGGAACCGGCACCCCGCGCCGTCTCAGCCCCAGCCGGGGCCCCACCATCGCCTCGCCTCTCCCGTGCGGCGCGCCATTTTCCGTCATGGCAATGTCATCTTCCTCTTCCTCTGTGCCTCACCTCTGACGTCTCTTCCCCCTCTTCCTTCTTCCTCCGTTTCCTAACCTCCAACGTTTCTCTCCGAAATTCTTTCTTTCTCCATCCACTTCCCTCTTGTAGCCTCCTTCATTTACTCCGCTTCCTCTGGTCCTCCTCCCTCGGTTCCAACGCACTGCTCCATTCTCCTTGCCTCACACCTTTCCAAAAACTTATTTTCCTCTCCACTTAATTCCCGACCATCCGTACGCTCCAAAAGGCTTCCCCCTCTATCACCTATACTACCTAGTCACTATATAGTGACTAACTAGTATAGGTTAGATAAAATGTTTAAGTCAGAAAGAGCTTGTTACTAGATATAAATTATAATCAGTTATTCATGATCTAGCTATTGTCTAGTAATCATATATCAGATATGACACTGCATTGTTATGCAAATCTAATAAAGCAAATAAAGTAAATAAATTTATAATGCTAATTATTTAGTATGTTTTATAAAATTTAATTGCATTTATAAAAAAATAATATAATTGCGTCAGTTATAACATATTGTATATATAAGATATATAAACAATAAAATATATGTATGCGTTAATAAATCAAAATAGCATAGTAGCTAGGGTACGAGTGTGTACGAGTCTGATGTCTGATTATCCTGAGATCCCGGGTTCAAAACCAGTTGTGAGATAGCCAGCAAAATAATAAAACAATATAGTAAAAAGATAATGAAAATTAGTTAATAAAAATTGTCCTAAGTTTAGAATGTACTCTTGATAAAAAAAAATTATAATACAAAATTAAATAATTTTTTGTTAGTTTTTATATCTAGTTGCAGTTAGTTTCTGCTAGATAAGTACTGGATAATATTTTTTATAAAGTCACTAGAAGAAGTGAGCGTTACATTATGGCTCATCACTAGCTAGAAAAACTAGACAGTGGTGATGTATAACACAACTTTATTAGCTCGTGACTAGCTAGCCACTATTTTCAATTTCTACTCGGGGCCTTTTACCGATTACCGCCAAATTCAATACCAACCTTCTTTTAATAATACTCTATATAAAATTACATGTACAACTTAAGGTAAAATTTCATGGGCAGTGAAAAGCAGCAGCAGATTGTACTGATTGGCTATAAAATAGAGAAGTTCTCGAGTTCCTAGAACTTCTCTATTTTGTAGCCAATCAGTACGATCTGCTGCTACTTTTCACTGCTCATGAAATTTTACCTTTATATGTACATGTAACTTTTTGAGCAGAAATCGGTAACCCCTTCACCGATTCTCAAAAAATTCAAAATTTTATAAAGAAAGAACCCGATTCCTCTGTTAGCCTTCGGCGGGGGAGCAGGTGGAAAGTTCGGAGAGGAGAAATAGAGTCGAAAACAGAGTTGTGTGAAAGAGTGGAGGTGCAGGATTGAAGGAGGGTGTGAAGGAGGTGAAGAGAAAACGGTGGAATTGGAGGTGAGGATAGAATCGAGGTGAAGCAGCCAGAAGTTGAAGGAGAAGAGGAGAGTTGAAAGTAAGTTTAGGATGACGCGGCAAGAGAAGCAGGAAGAGAAGGGGGCAGAGACGGAAGAGGAGAGAGAATCGAGAGAAGGAGAGGTGGCAAGGAGCAGGGTCTAACCGGGCGGAGTGGTAACACGTGGCACGTTGGTGGCTGGCGAGGAGAACGGTGGAAGCGGACATCACTGGCGGTCCGGCCCAGAGCGGGGTGCCGGCTGCCTCAAAAGGGTAGGTTGGCACCACTGCAGGGCGGCAGGACTGGAGACGGGATTAGCGTGCGGAGCGGGCCGGTAAGAAAGAGAGAGGGGATATCGATAAAGGAGGAGATAGCGCGAGAGAAAATGGGCGAACGCGCAACGCGCGTTAGCGCGCCAACGATAAAGGGTTGAGGTTGGAGATCGAAAGATCGAGAGAGATCGACGGAGCGTAGCGAGCGCGCGGCGAGGCACGTGGTGACAGTAGAGAGAGGAGAAAGTGTGAAAAGGCTGCGAGAAAAGCAGGAAAGCAATGAAGAGGGTAAAGAAAAGCGGGAGAAAGGAAGAGAAGGAGCGGGCAGGTGAAAGGTGAACAAGTAAGTAAGGGAGAAGGAGGAGTGAGATAGGAGGCGCGCACATACACGGACACGCAGGGGGTTAGAAGGGTCTGGGAAAGAAGTGGGGAGGGAGGAAGAGAGGTGCTGATAGTGGAGTGGGAGGAGGAGAAGGAGGGAGCGGAGCTGTTAGGAGGGTGTGGGGTATTTAGGCAGAGGGGGGGGGATAGGGGGGGACGAGGACCTGACCATATGAGTTACAGCGAGGACCTAGAGTGCCGAGAATTAATTGTAGGAAGAGGGTGAAAGAAGGCAGAAGAGCGGACGGAGGGCGGAAGCAAAGAGTCAATAGAATTTGGGTGGAAGGAAAGGAGATTGTGTGGAACGAGGATGAGGGGAAATGGGAGGAGAAGTAAGGATAGGGGGGCCGGGGGTCGAAGAAGGAGGAAGAGGAGAGGGAGGCGAAGGGAAAAGAGAGAAGGTTACCCCTGTGTTACAGAGGCGGGAGCGGTGAGGAGGCGGAGAGCTGAGGAGTTGAAGCACGGAAAGAGGATCCCAACGGAAGTTCAACGGAAGAAGCGGTCAGGAGGAGGAAAAGGAGAGACAAGGTCCGAAAGGGTGGGTAGTACCAGGATGAGAGGCGGGAGCAGTGAGGAGACGGAGGACCTGAGGAGTTGGAGCACGGAAAGAGGGTCCCAACGGAAGTCCAACGGAAGAAACGGCCAGGAGGAGGAAAAGGAGAGGCAGGGTCCGAAAGGGTGGGGTGTACTAGGATGTAAAGGGTCGCACGCGGCCAGGTCGGGTATAAGGGGATTGGTATTTGTAAGAAGTTTGGGATCGTTCCTCACAAAAACGCCTTGTAAACCCTGCGGGGATATACAATAAACTCATACATACATACATACATACATATAAAGAAAGAACCTTTTTACCGATTATCGCCAAATTCAAAATACCAACCTTTTTTTAATAATACTTTATATAAAATTACATATACAACTTATACATGTAACTTTTTAAGCAGAAATCGGTAATCCCTTCACCGATCCTAGCTAAATTCAACACCAACCTACCTTTAATAATACTCTATCTATAAAAAAAATTAAGCTCGATACCTCAAAATTTGCGAAAATTAGAGCAATCACGTAGATTTTTTTAAACAGAAATTGGTAACCCCTTTATTATTAGCAATTTTTATTAATTCTACTATATTCTTCAGTTTTTTCTACCCCTATTTCATATATATTTTTTTAAAATTTGGTTAATCAGTTCTTGAGTTATAGAAATTTCGTTAAATTTGGCACACACGTACATACATACATACGGACATTTTTTAAAATTACGATTTTGCAACGTTTTCAAACATAAGGAACACATTGGCATAAAAAACTAAAGACACAATTTTTTCTTTGGTCTTTTCTACCCCTATTTCATACATAATACTTTAAAATTTGGTTGATTAGACCTAGCTTTATATGCGATCAAAGGTCCATATACGAAGTTTATGAAAACAAAGCTTCCTCTATGGGGAAGCAATATGTATAAAATATTCATATAATATTTTCAAAAAATATACTATATATAAATATAGATAAATATTCAGTTTATGTGCTTTTAATAATCATAACTATAAATTAACATTTTTTGACAGAGACAGACAGGAATCGTTTTATACCTTGATATTATCTGCAACTTCTTTTTCCATCCCTTCCCAATATACTCCTCCATCGCTAGTAGACGCTACATTAGTGAAGATGGTATTTTTGAAGATAGTTCTCATAGCATTAGGATTCGTGGCCGAACTCGTACCGGGAGCAACTCCGAAAAATCCATTCTCCGGATTAATGGCACGTAAATTTCCTTTATTATCAAATCTCATCCATGCAATATCATCTCCTACACATTCAATCTTGTAACCTGGTAAGGTAGGTTGCATCATAGCCAAATTCGTTTTACCGCAGGCGCTCGGAAAAGCGGCAGCGATATATCGTTTTTTGCCTTTAGGATTTGTGACACCCAATATCTGAAATGGCATACAAATTTTACCTTAATGTTACTTTTACTTTAAAGTCGCATATTCCGACATACGTTTGTAATATAGAAGTAATTTTTAATGCAAAAATCTTAGTAGCCACATTGAATTATGTAAGCAGATGCAAGAAATCATATGAATTGATTCCTTGCACTATACGTCTAAAAAAATAGTTGACATACTCATGTTCGATAATATAAAATGGTAAAATATGCTGAGAAATTTCTTTTTGGTTTTCTTTAAGGGGTTATCCCACCCAGACGTGTTAAAAAATAAGGCTTATTTTTTGAATTTTTTTCTTTGCTACTAATAAAGCAATCAAAAAATCGTTTAAAGGGTTTTATTTTTTATATAATCAGGTATACAAAACAATTTTTTTAAAATTTAAAATACAAAATGGCGGCGTGGCAGCAGGTCGAACGCGGATGCTTTTTTTCCATGATGGGCAGCATAACAATTTTTAAACAGCACCTAGGACAAAATAAAAATTTTTTTTGTTATCTACATTAGTTTTTCTACGGCGGTACACAAGATTATTATAAAATATAAATATTGATTTTTCGCAAAATAGCACCAGTTTGAAAAACTTTTTTAAAAACTTTTTTTTCAAACTGGTGCT